TGCAGTTTTTGTTGGGCCGGAAAGAAGAGGGGAAAGAAGAGGAGGCAGTGCTGGTTGGGGGTGAGTGGTCTCCTTCACTGGATGGCCTCGATCCCAAGGGCGACCCACAAGTGCTGGTTCGCACTGCCATTCGTTGTGCACAAGCCCAGACGGGCATCGACTTGAGCGCCTGCACAAAGTGGTGAGTAGCTGCCTTGCCCCTTGTCTGTGGCTGGCCAGACTGTTCAGGAAACCGAGCTTCTGTGACTTCCTGGCCTGTTCATTTGCTTCTGTCTCCTGTGCAGCCCTGACAGTGGTTGCCTTGGTCTTGAGCATGACTAGGGATGTGGATATGGGTTGAAGCCCTGCCAAGGCCCATTCAGTCACGCTCAGCTCCATCTTGGACCTTGAGCTTGCATCTCCCCATTGCTTCACTGTTTCTTGGGCCCTCAGTCTGTATCTTTTATTTTTGTGCTTGTAAAGCTTGGCATGCAGTTTGGACTCAGTAAATGTTTGGAAACTGAAGCAGATACTGGGAAAGTCATGGGTCAGCTGCATTTTTCCTTTTTATTGCGAGTAGGTGGCGCTTTGCAGAGTTTCAGTACCTGCAGCCAGGACCCCCGCGGCGGCTCCAGACTGTGGTGGTGTACCTGCCGGACATCTGGACCATCATGCCTACTTTGGAGGAGTGGGAGGCTCTGTGTCAGCAGAAAGCTGCAGAGGCTGCGGCCCCAGCCCCGGAAGTCCCAGTGGTAAGGCTGAATCTGGGAACAAGCTAGGGTAGCAAGTGCCCTGAGCCTTAGACCCAGGTGGTTGACACCTGAATTTTTGCCCCAGGAAACAGAGTCTACGGAACAGGCAGCTGATGCTTCAGAGCAGGCAACAGATATGTCCAAACAGGATGCAGAGAATCCAGAGGTCACGGCCCAGCAGGAGGTGGACACTGATCTCCCAGAGGCCCCTCCACCCCCTCTAGAACCTGCCGTCATGGCGCGCCCTGGCTGTGTAAGCCTGTCCCTCCATAGTATTGTGGAAGATCGACGGCCAAAGGAGAGGGTCTCTTTTGAGGTAGGAGTCTGGGAGGCTGAGGAGGGCATGGGAGTGGTGGGCTCGTCACGCGCTCTGGGCCTTCTTGGTACACACGGGCCCCTGCTGCCTCCTCCAGGTGATGGTCTTGGCTGAGCTGTTTTTGGAGATGCTGGAGAGGGATTTTGGCTATAGGATTTATAAGATGCTGCTGAGCCTTCCTGAAAAGGTTGTGGCCCCACCTGAACCTGAGAAGGAAGAGGCAGCCAAGGAGGAAGAGGCAGCCAAGGAGGCGGCGGCCAAGGAGCCCAAGGACGAGGCACAGAGTGAGGGCACCGCTGCCGAGTCAGATGCGCCGCCGGTGAGTACCTCTGCCTCCTGCATGGGCACGGGGCTTCAGGTGGGCACACTGAGCCAGAACCCAGGGCTGCGTGCTGCCAGGCGCTGCTGAGTGCCTCATGACCCTGGTGCGCTTCAGGCGTGGGGGCCACACGTTGGTAGGTGTGACCCGGCAGGTGTATGCGGACCAGCCATGTAGCACAGGCCTGTTAATGAGAGTGCTGTGAGGGGGATGGGTGTTTGACCACCCAGTGTATCGCTAGGAGACTGCATTTCTTTTTTTTTTTTTAGATTTATTTATTTATGCATACAGAGCTGGGGTACAGGCCAGAGATGTGGAGGGTGAGAGGATTCACCAGAGACAGAGTGGGGAGCAGAACAGGCAGATCGATGAAGTACACTGCTGAGGGGAGCAGCGGGCGGGTCAGGAGAGGTCTGCCACGCCATGTGGTCTCCTCCGGGGCAGGCGGGAATCCAACTTATGCGGAAGCGGCTTAAGCTTTGTGCTGTGCTCTAACCCGCTGCGCCACCAGGGAGGGCCCAGGAGACTGCATTTCTTAACCTTCCTAAAGCACACCTGTCCCTTTTGCCCAAACACTGTCAAGTAAATGTAATTTCCTATGGGGCTGCAGTTGGCTCCTGAGGAGAACCCCAGGCGTCTGGAAGTGGCCTCGGGGACTCTTGTAACACAAGGCACCCCATAAGACTGCCTGCTGAGCCCCAGTATGGTGCCTGGGATGGGGCTGTTACTCAGATGTTAGTGACCGGTGAATCAGTTCCTGCTCATCACTGTGGTCTGCTTCCTTCCTAGAAGGAAGATGGACTTTTGCCAAAGCCCCCATCTTCTGGGGGAGAGGAAGAAGAGAAGCCTCAGGGTGAGGCGTCTGAGGACCTCTGTGAGATGTCCCTCGACTCTGAACTGCTGCTCCTGAGGGAGGACGGGGAGGAAGAGTTTGGTATGCCAGGGGAGGGAGTGGGCGGGCAGGTTGGCGGTGCTGCCTGGCTAGAGCGCCGCCCTGTCGGGGTGGGGCTGGGGTGGCTCCCATGGTCCCGTCTCCAAGCTCATCTTAAGTTTTCTGTAGCAGGAGCCAAGCTGGAGGATTCTGAAGTCCGGTCAGTTGCCTCAAACCAGTCTGAGATGGAGTTCTCTTCACTTCAAGACATGGTGAGATCTCTTTAATGTCTCTCTGGGCTTCAGTGCCGGCAAAGCTTAGCAAGGTCTCTGGCTCACTCTTGGGAGAGGGATGCTTCTTGATGGACAAAATACAAGTGATTCTTGGCTCAGGGAACAGCACTGTCAGAGGAGCCACGAGAATCTGAGCGAGGTATCTGACCCAGGGGCACATGGCTTCCTCTGTCGGCAGGCCCCCCCCCCCCCGCCTGTGGTCCTGTCTCCACCTGGAAGGCCCAGCGGGGGTGTGGTTATTAGCCAACCTGCTGGGTCTTAGAAATATGTCTACATCCTGTGCCACTCTAGCCACTGAGAGAACTCGTAAATCCTGTTTCTAGCCCAAGGAACTGGACCCCTCTGCCGTGCTCCCTTTGGACTGTCTTCTTGCTTTTGTCTTCTTTGATGCCAACTGGTGTGGCTACTTGCACCGGCGAGACTTGGAGAAGATCCTGCTCACCCTCGGGCTCCGGCTCAGCGCAGAGCAGGTACCCACTGAGGTGGCCTCGCGCTGCAGACCAGTGCGGTACCACACATGGATGCTGGGGGCAGCAGGGGCTGTTGCTATCTGGGCTCTTCCACCTTAGGGGGCGAGGGCTGGCAGGCCTACTCACTGGGCATCTTGGGGCTATGCTCTCTGCAGGCCAAGCAGCTGGTCAGCAGGGTGGTGACCCAGAACATTTGCCAGTACCGGAGCCTTCAGTACAGCCGTCAGGAGGGCACCGACGGCGGGCTTCCCGAGGAGGCGCTTTTTGGTACGCGCGGTGCCTGCCGCTTCCTGTGTACGGTGGCAGGGCTGCTGCCCTCCTGAGGCTTTCCTCACATCCTTCGCATGGCCCCTTCTAGGAAACCTGGACCTGCTACCTCCTCCTGGGAAAAGCCCAAAACCAGGTGCTGCCCCCACAGAACACAAAGGCTTGGTGTCCCACAACGGCAGCCTGATCCACGTGGGGAACCTGTTGCAGCGCGCAGAGCAGCAGGACAGTGGGCGGCTGTACCTGGAGAATAAGATTCACACACTGGAACTGAAGCTGGGTGAGTGGCCTGAAGCCACAGGGGCCCGGCGTGGGTGCAATATGGTGTTTCCACTCAGAGACTAGTGGGGAGACCGCCCTACCCCAGGCTTTAGGTCGCTCACCCAGGCGCCAGTCCTTGACTTACGGTCGTCTTTTTGGTGGTTCCTCCCCAGAGGAGAGCCATAACCGTTTCTCAGCCACTGAAGTAACAAACAAGACACTGGCCGCAGAAATGCAGGAGCTGCGAGCCCGGTTGGCCGAGGCCGAGGAGACGGCCCGAACAGCTGAACGACAAAAGAACCAGCTGCAGCGGCTGTTACAGGAGTTCCGAAGGCGCCTGACCCCCCTGCAGCTTGAGATGCAGCGGATGGTTGAAAAGGTGAGCTGTCCTGGAGAGCGCCGCCGCCTGCTGGGTTGGGAGACGCGCGCGGGTGAGGGCCAGGAGGCCTGCTGGTGCCCAGGCTTCCGTGTCCCCGCAGTGTCTTCTGGCAGCTTGCCACCGGGGCTCCAGCAGCAGGGGCTCCTCCTCAGTGAGTCCTAATTGTGCTTCAAACAGGCTGACAGCTGGGTAGAGAAGGAGGAGCCAGCACCAAGCAACTGAGGGCCCCGGCGTACGAGCTGCCATCCAGAGGTCAGCGATGGAGCCTGCTGGAGTTACAGCCCTCTTGGTCCCAGAAAGAAGCTGGAGCAGGACCTGGGAGCCATAGGCAGGGGGTGGCTGACCCCTGTACTCGGCCTCCAGGGGAGGCCAGGCCGTTAGGGTGGGGTCTGTCTGCTACGTGGGACAGACAAGCGAGGAACCCCGGTTCCAGTTACAACTAAATCCAACACAACATCTTCTGCACCCCTCGAATGTCATTTTGCCCTGTCCCTGGGGATTCTCCTGGGGCCCTTTAGTCTTGTGCTGACTTTCTCCTGTCCTCTTCCAGTTTAGAATAAGACGGGGAGGAAAAGGCTTTTTGAGTATGTCATAAGGTCTGATGCCAATGAGCTGAAAAAACAGATGTGGAAGCTGGCTGGGGGGACGAGCCCCTTCCTCTGGACGGCACAAAGCCTAGGTTCCAGGAGCAGGTTCTTGGGGAAGGGGCTCCCGTGGCCACCACAGGACCAGAGTCAGTGCCAGCAAGCCGTGTCGGGCTGTCTGCCAGTGAACGCTGTTACGGCCACCCCAGACTCGCCGGAAGAAACCAGCGCCTCTCCCCTGGCTCCCCGTGTTCAGAATGTGGTATTGGCTCTGGCCCAGCCTTTTTCCCTGTTCCCCATAATTCTCGCCTCTTTCCATAATCCGTGGTTTCAGTTTGACTTTGTATATAAAGTTGTTTTTTTTTTTTTTTTTGGCTTTTTGTTTTTTTAAATAAACCAAAGTCAAAAACAGACCACGTGTCCTCCATAGCTCTTCCCTCCTGGCTTTCTGCCCAGCCTCTGCCGGACAAGGTAAAGCCCCTCTGGGAGGGCGCAGCAGTAGGAAGAGCCGGCTGAAGGCTGCTGTCCAGCCGCGAGGCCCTGCCAGCTCAGCAGGGGCAGTGTAACCCTGAAAGGGACTGGGACGTTGTGTTGATCCTCAGCAACAGCACAGTTGTGGACATTTTATTGAAAAAATAAAATTACAAAAATTCGGGTGAGACAAACCCAATGTTGTTGCTTTGAGGTCTCTGACTTGGGGGTGATAGTCTGTGGTAGAGCATTTATATGAGTCCTGGTTTCCCAGGGAAGCTACAGGACTGGGGTCAGTGGGGCTCTTCCCTGCATTTGACGTAAGGAAGTGGGCTAAGCTAACTCGTGCGAGAAGGCTGGAGCAGCAGAGCTCCTGGGCCTCTGAGAAAGATGTCTTTGGAAGTGGGGCACCAGGAAGGGTCATGTGGAGGTAGATGGCGATCCTGACCACAAGCCAGGATGAGCGCGCAAATGCACCAACAGAGGCCGTGGCCTGCAAGCTCGCTTGGGCCCAGGCCAGGATGGGCTCTGGATGGCTTTTGGAAGAAGGCCCCAGAGGTTCTCGCCACGCCTTACCTTCTCTTGGGTTCTTGCTATGAGTGGGGAGGTGTCAGCTTGCTTGGGGGTCTGGCGACTGGCTGGTTGCTTCCAACGGGCTGTGTGCAGCGCTGAACCGTTGCTCTCCCAGCCCACCTGTGGCTGTACTCCTCCCAGGGGCGGCCTTTGGCTGGCCAAAGTCTAAGCCTAAGCTTGAAAGGGGCAGAGGTAACAGGCTGACTTGGATCCCAGGAGCCTCCTTAGAGGGGAGCGAGTCAGTCATCAGCCACGATGGAGAGGGCTCTGAGCTCGCTCAGTTTGGCTTCATTCTCCCGTTCCCGCTGCTCATCCAGGTGGCCAGGCTGGTCAAGCTGCTGGGTCAGGTCTCCGAAGATCTTATGCATTTCCGAGTAGTATACGACCTGGAGATGTGGAGGCGAGAGGAGGTTGGCGGGTGCTGGCTCCCAGCCCCCTCAGCACTGCACCCCTGGGCACAGGACAGGCAGATAGGCAGGCAGAGGGCCAGTCTGGAGGCCCACATGCTGCTCTTACTGTAATCAAAGCATGTGGGGCCAGTCCATTTTTCCCCGGCCTTCCTCCCCTCAGCCTGTGTTTAAATTGCGCGAGGACCCAAGCAAGAGTGAAGCCACAGCCTGAAGGCCTCCAGGAACGTCCACTGCCCCAGTGGCAGCAGTCAGGAGGGAGGGAGCAGCAGTTCTTCAGTGGTCTGGGTTCTTCCAAGCTTTCCAGGCAGCTGAGAGGGAAGGGGAGTCCAGTGTGGTGGCAGTGGGAGGGCTCTTGATGGGTCTGAGGGGTTGCAGGGGAGCTATCTCAAAGGGAATCTGGAGGGCATGACAGGCTCCCAAGGCCCAAACAGCCTGTCTCAAAAGAAAGGTGAGAAAGGCGACATTTTCCCAGCCCTCTGTTCCTTCTCAATTCATCTCTGAATCTGTCTGAGGGGCGCAGGCTGGCTCATTTTCATAGTTCTGTCTACAGAGGGGTCTATGGGAAAGGACAAAAATTTGGGTTAGCTGGGCTCTGGGCCTCAGCAGATCTGGGACAGGCTTTTCCAGGAGGACTGGGGCACTGTCTGCTCCAGTCGCTACTTCATGAGCAAATAAAGTGTTTCACTGCTGTTCAAACACCCCTGAGTTTGATCACCTCAAACTCCAAGTCCTCTTAGGGCAAGAAGAACCGCTACTCTAGAAACCCTGGTGAGGCCCAGCCCAACGGGGTGGCTTAGCTCTGTGGTGGAGGAAGTGTCTTCTCTACCCCCTCAGCTGGGATTCCACTGGGGCGGTAAGTCAAGGTTTCCACATACTGTTGTCACCTCGAGGGGCGGGGCCTGGCTAGTGCTGGAAGAGGGGGAGGCGCAATGTGCCGAGTCACTAGGAACCGAGTCACCAGGAATGCTTTCTCCAGTGACTAATGGCGGCGGCAGCCACATAGTGGGAGGCTGGCCCTGAGGCGGCAGTAAACAAGCCCGGCTCCCCGGAGCCTGTTTACGGGGCATCCTGCTCCAACCTGGGTATGCTGCAGGCCAGGCATCCTGGAGCTTCCTGGAGCTTCATGAACATCAGATTGGAGAGGGCAGAGAAGCCAGCATGGCTGGGGGGGTGATGGTGGGGAGGGGCATTTCAGCAGCAATGGTGGTAGTCTCCTAAACTCAGGGTGAAGCTGCCGGAAGGAAGCCCTTACCTCCAGGGCGATGCTCGGGGGGGACAAATGTGGAAATTCCCCACTTGCTTGTGCACATAAACTCTCTGCTTCATTTTCCCTGGTGACCAGGGACAGGGTCACCAGAAAGTTCCAGTTCCAACATCAATCTTGCTCAGGATTCTGCTACCTGGATTTTGGTGTTCTCCAGGGTGGGACCCGCTTTTCCCCATGATGGACTGCAGAGAATGACAATGTCCACTGGAGGGCGCCAGATACCCAGGCCAAGGACAGAAGTGCCCTGGTGGTCTACAAATGGCCACCCCTTAACCCTGGTTACCTGGAGGGTAAGGTGGGAAAGTAGGGTACTGAACACCTGCAGTCAGGGTCCCTGTGGAGAAGATCTGTTGGCTTTGGAACTGCAACCCCTTTTTCACAAAAGGGGAAAAAGACTCTGCTAGACATTTGCATAAAGGGGAATGGCAGAAATGACACCTGATTACATATTCTGTGCCTACCTCTTGGGTGGCGGAGACTCAGGATCTTGGCCTATGTGCGACCCTCCAGTTGCCCGACCCCTGTGCTGTGCCCAGCTAACACCCACACAGGGACCCAGAGGGGGGCTTCCCCAGTGTTTTGGTGCCCTCCAAGGGTTGCTCAAATTTCAGAACCGGTATCTCCTGCTGAAAGATGAGGGCTATGGGCATGGAGGGGATAAGGTCCCTCAAGGGCCACTAGCCCTGGTCTCCTGAGCATGCAGGGCGGACAACCTGCCCATCAGTGCGGCGCTGAGGGCAGCCTGTGTCTTTGGGCTGCTGGTGGTAGCACGTAAAGGGGCAGGTTGAGGTCAGAACTGTAACAGCAAGGAGCCTCCCCCAGCCTTGTGCAGGCATCAGCCTAGTGCAACGTAGGGACCCGAGCAGAAACTCCAGCAAACAGAGTGGGCCCTCAGGCCTGTGGACAAAGGTGGATGGGTGCTGGGACAAAGGCCTTTGTCAGGGTGGTATGGACCGGGTGGGCAGTGAGACTATCTCTGCAGAGAGTGGCTGGGTCATCCTTCCAGGTGGTGTAAGTCATGCTCCACGACTGTCTCCTAGGGGAAAGGGCATTGGGGGTCTGAGGTGCTGGGGGTGCCTTACCTGTGCTCGGATCAGAGACTCAAAGCTGGGCTGGAAGTAGTCGAGCCGGCTGTTGTAGAACCGTGGCATCTCATCCAGGAGCTGCTTGTTCTTGGCCTCAAAGTCATCCCGCACAGGTCGAAGTTCTTCTCGGGCCTGGGGAACAAGAGCCTGGGTGTGAGAGTGCCCACTGGCTTGGCAGGTGCCCCGGCTGCAGCCTTGATGGAGGTGTGTGGAAGGGTTCAGGGCCTCTGGTATCTCTGGGTGGTTCCCAGGTGAAGGAGCAACATGTCCCTGTGACCACTAGGCCCACTGTTCCCTCACGGCCCCCTTCGCCATGGTACCTGGTGGAGTTTGGCCAGCACTGGCCCTGTCTTCTCCTTCTCTTCATACTTCTCCACCTTGGCCTGCAGTCTCCTGTAGTCCTGCAAGACCTGCTCTCGCCGCTTAACCGCCATGTTGAGGCTGGGAAAGATGCTGCCGAACCTGTGGGACACAGCCTGGTGGGATTCTGGTGGCTGTGGGCACTGCAGGCTGGCAGCCTGCCACCCATGCAGAAATACGAGCTGAGTGCCCCCGCTGTGGTAGTCCCTGCACTACAGCTTGGGGATGGATGTCATTGTGAGTGAGCAGATGGGGCTGAATCTTGGGGTAAGGTCTGGGGAAGGGTCCTGCACTGACCTGAGGACATCAGGAATGCACAATACCACCTGCCCTGTCACTCAAGCCTGTGCCTCACCGGAGAGCTAAGTGGTGTGGTGGGGCTGAGGCCTCCTGGAAAGCTATCTGGGCGACATGTTCGTTTTTAAAAAATGAAAATGAGGCAGACAGATGATATGACCTATTCAGGGTCACAGCGAGGTAGTGACAGTCCAGGAAAGCGCCTACCCACCAACTCATGCCTCTGCCAGTGGGTGACGAACAGCCTGACGGCACTGGTGTTGCATCTGGCTCCCACACTGCGATGACCAAGCCAGATGTCTGAGGAGTGGCCTCTTTCTACCCCACTGTGAGGACAAGCACCCCAGGGAAAGGCGCAAGAGCAGCCCTAGCAAGGACCTGTTGCCGGGAGGGGAGGGGCCAGGCCACTGCATCTAAGGCCACAGGTAGCCCTGCTCACGCCCCAGGCAGGAGGTGGGGTTTTCCTTAACTAACATGACTCATGGAGGAGGTGGCAAAGCAGGCCTGAAGGCTGGTTCTCTGGTATCAAGTGCAGAGCCTGTGGGGAGGTGCCTGTGGCTCCAGCCAGGAGCCTGAAGTCAGGCGCAGCCTGAGGAGAGGGAGGCGCTCCTCCCGGGGACCCAGTGCCCTTCCTGGCGCTCAGAGCCCGCAGAGCGTGTTGGCGCCCAGCACCATCGGGTGCTCTGCAGAGCGGCTTCCTCGTCTGCCTTTCACAGGAACATGACCATGAATTTGGCAATTCAGTGCACACGGCAGAGTAACGCATACTTTTTGTCAGAGAACATAAATTTGACGGAAGCACTAAGAGCTCCAAACAAAGCAAGATTCACGCAGCAGATTTTGATGAGACAAAGGGCTGAGAAAGGCTCCTGAAACAAGTTCTGCCCACCGACTGGGTGCCCCGGCGGGCTCACGGCCTAGCTGCCTGAGAATGTCAGCGCGCACCCCGGCGCAGACACAGCGTGTCGGTGTGGGTGGGCTGATGTGGCGGGCAGAAGGCGTGGACATACTGGGTGTGGTGCAGCCTGGGCCACCTCAGGACAAAGGGTCGACGCCGAGGAAGGGTCTGACACAGGGGAGCGGCTGCTCCCTGCTCTTGCTGGGGACAGTCACTCTGATGGGGCCTTGGCGGCCTCACGAGCCACGGGCAGGTTCGTGGCTGGGGTGGCAGGTGCAGTGGGGCCTGAGAAGCTGCTACACTGCCACCCTCTCTCTCCCCCTGGGCTGGACAGGACACTGGCAGCGGCCTTGATTCATAACGTGAACTAGAGGCAGCCTGCTGCCAGGTCACTCACTCTGCGGGCCTCTGGCGGCTGCCACAGGAACGACTGGCAGCACAAGGCCTCAGCAGGACTGTTTCCTTGCTCTTGTCACCTTTCCCTTCCTTATGCCGAACTCTTCTCTTCAGGAGAGAGGCCCCCAAATGAATGAAGCAGTGGGCAGAAGTTCGCCCTATGGTGGTAAGATGGGGCTCTCACCCCGCTGGTCAGTGAGGTGTGACCCCGGTGAGACCACGCCTTGGCTGGTCCTCAGAAGCCCCTCTCTCCTCAGTCACCAGCCAGGTCAGAGTCGGGTATGCCAAGAAGACTGGCTAAATGCAGGGCTGGGGCCAGGCTGCAGGAAACAGAAGCCCAACCCCTGGGCCAAGTCCCGAGTAGATAGTGAGGCAGAGTGCGGGAGTCCTCACTGCAGATCTCTATCAGTGCACAAGGGTGGGCAACTGTCTAGAGGATGCTCTCTTCAGCCTCATGGAAGCAAGACCACCCATCTTGTGTGTGGAGAGCTAGGCCTGGCTGCTGTTAGAGCCTCAAGAAATTCCATTTCTCCCTAAGGCAACCTCTGCCTCTCATGGCAGCACCCCTCAGTTAAGCCAAGAGGAATGGCTCAGCTGGCCAAGTCTGCTGTAGATGGCACAGAGGCCATCCCCAGCCGGCAGCTGGGCCCCGGCTCAGGGCTCTATGAGGAAGGGGCAGTTTCCCACACCACAGCGGGGAAACTAAGGCCAGGCAGGGAAGGTCACATGGTGTATTCCGAGATGGCTGAGGAGACCAGCACTCTAGTCCCTGTTTCTGGGTTCCTGCCCCAAGGCCCCAGTTCCCCATTTTCTACTCAGAGCAACAGAATGAACTTGCCAGCTCCACATGGCTTGTGGTGTCAACACCGTGGTGCCAAGGAGGAGGGAAAGCAAGACTCCACCTTCAGGTCAAGAGAAGCGCAGGCCGTCCTCAGAGTCCTGCACCTCCCAGACATGCCCCTGGAGCCCTACATCTGATGGGGGGGTGGGGGGGCGGGCTCTCCCCTTGCGGGATGATGTCTACACTTCTACGGGGCAGACGGCTACCAGGGGACAAGGCTGGCAAGCCCACGCCTCTCAGTTCAGTTCCCTGCTTCATGGTGGCACCTAATTAGCAGCGAGTGGAACAGGGACACGGCGCCAGGGTGAAGGCCTGACACTGCCCTCCACACAGAACTCAACCTGCCCAACTCAGCCCACCTGCCCCTAAGCACCAAGTGCCATTCTAGGAGCTGGTTTCAGTTCACCCCTTCCACACACGGGGAACAGACTCAGTCATGGGGGACCTGGCCAAGGTCACAGCCGGGTGTGGCAGGCTGGGATGCCCTTCCAGCACTTTTCCCACCAGCACTTTCCCCACTTCATGGCACTGTACCTCCTGGGCAGTCTCTATACTTGAGAATGCCCTCGTGGCCTGTGTGCCGGACTGCACTGCGGCTGTCCTTAAAGGAGGGAGAACAGGGCGAGGCCTCCACCAGGCACCTGATGAAACTGTTTCTCACCAGTGCCAAGGTTCAACAGCAGACTGCCTCCCCTGGGTAAGCGTGGGGTGAAGAGGCAGTGAGAGGGAGGAGGGAGAGCGAAGCCGGCTGGGAGGTGGGCTGGGAGCAGCCGGCCCTGGTGGGGAATGCCTGCCATTCCTCAATCTGTGCCCACACAGCCGGGATCTTCCACCCACCAGGAAAGGGAAATTGAAAGCATCCCCATCCGACCATGTGAACACGGCCCAGAGATGGGGGGATTAGAGGCCAAGCCCTCTGGGGAAGGCTGGGGGCGGCAGGGTGGCCATGTGGAGATGTTCTCCATCAGAGGACAGGAAAGCTGCAGTTTCCTGTTTCCGGTGCTGGGGTCCCTGGGAGCTTCTCTCCTGGCAAGAGGCGGCCACAGGCAGTGCCGGTTTCAAGCGGCCAGAGATCACACGTCGGCCGAGGGACCCAGGCAGCCGGCTGGGGAGCCAGGGGGCTCACGCAGAGGTCAGCGGATCTGTTGCGGAGATGGCGCCGCCCCCTCTGCCACTCACCCACCTTCCTGGCAGGTGGTGGGCTGCTAGGGTGGTGGGAAGCAGCCGGGATCTCTCTCCATTTGGCTCTATAAGCCAGGCATCAGATTTCAAGGCCGCCTCGGTTGGTTGTGAAACTGAGACTCAGAGGAGTCAGTCCCCCAGTTCTCAGAGATGGTGTCCCCTGCTGAGCTCTGCCAGCCCCAGCAGTGGGTGTCCATGGCAGCCTCCCAACAGTCCCTGGGACCCCTTTAAGGAGGGTCAGCTCTGCTCACGGCCCTTTCCACCCAGCTCAGAACCAACACTCCCCCACACCCCCCACCCCAAGCAACGGCCGTGTTGTCTGATCCACCCTCCTGGGCCACCAAACTCAACACCAGCTCATGTGACCCTGAGGGTTGAGCAGTTGGAGGCGGCAGGGGCCCAGGGAAAGACTGGGGTGTGCCACACCAACTGCCTGGCCATGCTGTGTCTCCTGACAGGCCAGCTTAGAAAGAGCTTTCTCCAGCCCCACCCTGGGACCCAAACAGGAACAAGAGCGCACCAGCCCCAACACCAGGGTTGCAGGATCAAAACCTGCTCCCTTCATCTCCCTCCGGGCCCTGATCCAGGCCTAAAGGTAATTAAGCAGAGCCTCATTACCCTGGCCTGAGGAGGCAACTGCCAGGGACCACCGCGGAAGAGGTAATAAAGTGCAGCTGCGGGCTGGGGCGGGAGCCTTTCTAGGCCACAGCCTGCTTGGGAGAGGCTGGGGAAGAAGATGAAGTGATCTGGAAGCTTCAAGGCAATGCTGCTGTCTGTCCCCGGGGCCCACCCCCTTTGGGGACACAGGGAATAGGCCTGTCTGATCACAGACCAGAGCCTGCCTGCCAGAAGATGAGTCTCAAAGAAGAATTTCTGACCCTGATAGGCCAAGAGTTAGGAAGCTTCTGGCGGGACCCCGCTGCTGCACCCTCCCCATGTGTGGCCTCCCCCACATTTCAAAAGCTGAGTGCTGCAGGCAGCTGCTCTCCCAATCCGGATGAGAGATGAAAGGCCTAGCTCATCTCCGCTGAGGGCTGGCCAAGATCTCTGCTAGCTCACTTTAGCGAGCCCTGGCCGCACTGCCTCTCAATCAGGAACAAAGGCAAAGTGGTGCAGGGAGCAGGGTCAGCACAGGCAGGGGCCGCAGGCCTGTGGGCACTGAGCACGCCTGGGTGGCTAGGTCCTCTGGAGGGGCCAGGAGCCTGGGGCTACAGCTGGAGTGCCCGCTGGGCTTGCTGCCAGCCCCTGCGCTCTGGGTCAGGTCGCCAGAGATGCTATTCAGGCCCCAAGCTCTCTTGGCAATAAGTGTCCTCCCCAGTTGACCTTTACTCACTTTTTCAAAGGTTCAATCACGGTCTTTTGGATCTGGTTCACCTGTCAAAAGAAAAACCCCATGGCATCAAAAACTGGAAGGAACTCAAACTCTCCCTAACAGAGGCGGCTCCAAGTTCCTGGGGAGAGAAAGGAGACCCTGAGAGTCACAGGCCGAAGGAGGGGGCAGGCAGGGGTGTGGGGTTCCCCTGATGTGGCTCGAGTGGGGCAGAGATGATGAGCAGCCAGTGCCTGCCAAGACTGACAGTGGCTGTGCTCGGCGAGGAGGGCCGTGGGCCTCTGGGAGGACGCAGGGCTGGCCTGAGTCGCCCTCAGGACACGTGTGTACGACGCGGCTCACAGTAACCACAGAAGTAACCACCTGTGCCAAAGCCGAGTGGCCAGGGACACAGGCCTCAAAGGCTGAGGGAACCAGGGTGGTGACTGAGCCTGCTACGGACTCCATGTCGGTGCCTCACCCAGACAGAAGCCACGAGAAGGGGAAACCAAGGTCGCAGTCACCTTCTCCTGGTTGAAGGCGTCCATCCTCTTCATGGCTGTGTCCAGAGCTGTCACCATGTTCAGAAAGTCCTGGTCTTGCTCGCAGAGGGGGTTAGAGAGTAAGTCCAAGGAGATCTTCACCGCAGATTTGGACATGGCTGTAAGAAGTCAAAGCTCAGGGGATGTGCCGACCTCAAGATCTCGCGCCCAGGACTCCCTGTACCCCCGGCTGGGGGCCGACACCCAGATGACCCCCACTTGTGGCCTCAGGGTTAGCCCCCACTGCGCAGTATTCTCCACTGCCCACTGAAGGTTGTTCTGGGTCATTCTTTTGAGTAGCTTTACCTGTTGTGATGATTTAATCTCCCAAACTCTGGGTTCTACCAGAATCATGTGGGTGGGAAGCTGTAAGAAATGCAGACTTCTAGCTCAAAAGATTTTAAGTCAGTAAATTTGGTACCCAGGAATATGCATTGGAAGGAAAAAAGCTCCAGATGGTTCAGCTGTGCAGTTGGGTCTGAAACTGCTTCCGGGCAAGAGTGCACAGCAATGCCTGTGGGCTCGGTGGACTTACTGGAAAGGGCTAGAGTCAAGATTTCCAACTCTGGGCCGAATCCTGGCCTTATTGGTTTCTACTGCCACTCCTCAACACTGACGTTAATGCTAGAGAGTGAGTGTGGCTGGTCCAATAAACTTTTATTGATATCACTGCTAAGGTAAGAAATTGTATTTCTGAAACTTACATCACATGGTACCAATGCCACCTCAACAAAATGAAAGTATCTTAGTCTAGTAAAGGAAAAAACAAAAGCAACCTTGATTGACAAGTCAAGGCCAGATTTGGCGTGGTGAGGCAAGCTTGGCAATTCCTGGTTTCAAGGATCTATAGTGGTAAAAAGATATTCAAAACTTGTTTTCCCTGAGACTGGTGTAGACACGATCTAGCAAGCATGGCCCGTCTCTCTGTCCCTCTAGAATTCTGTTTGCAAACAGAGACCTGGAAATGGTATACAAGACCCAAGAAGTCCACCGCTCTGAGCAGGTGTGCACCCTGCCTCTGCCAGGGTTCCAGGCATCCATTTCTTACTTGGAGCTCAAACAACCCAGGAGATCTCTGGGGCAGATATATTTTGGTTCCATTCTAGAGGAGACTAGTGAGGTTCAGAAGAGTTTGGAACTCTGCCCAGGTCAGACCGCTGCAAGTGTCGGTCCAGACTAGATGCGGCCCTGCTCTCCTGGTGGTCTGGTTTGGAGACAGCAGTGGGCAGGCCCCAAGGGGCTCTGACGGGGCGACTGCCGCCTTCTGCAGTCTCCTTGGTATGTTTCCAAGCCTGTTCCACCAATGGGGGCTGGAAGTTAAAGGGCTGCTCGGAGGCACGATGCAAACCAACGGGCAGCTTTGGCTGGCTTGGTCCCATACAAGTTTTCGGGTCTCCATTATTTGCAAAGTTCTAGCAGGGCAGGAAGAAAGGTTGGAGAAGGGCCAGGCTCGCTCTGTAGCTTCCACGCCCATTTCAGAGTCCCAGGGGGAAAAGTTTGGGAAAGTCTTTCTTACAATTTATGGGATGGAACCTAAGAGGAGACCGATTGCTTAGACCACTGTTACTGTGGAAACAAGTGGAGAAAGGGAGAAAAGGCTGCAATTAAACCAGGACACACTAATGAGCAGCAAGGTTTCTTGATTTCAGGCGCTAAACATGAAAAACTACCTTAGAGTCTGTGAAAGAAGGCCCAGCTCCCAGCCAGTTAGACGCGGCCTTGCCTTCCACGGTAAGGAGCGAGGCGCCACGAACCAGCTGCTCCCAGCCCGCACGAGGCAGGGCTGCCTCTCAGCTTTGCGTGGGAGACAAAGCCAGGGCCCCGCCACACCCCCGCTGGTCAGCAAGCCAGCAAAGAAGCCCACAGGGCACGGTGGCCGGAGTGCTGTCCCGAAGCTCCTCGAGGGCGCCTATGGGACGAGGCTGGAAATGTGAACTTCCTAGAAAGAGGGAAACAATGGAGGAAAAATCCTCTTTAAGACCTGTGAAGTGACTCTGTAGGCTCAAGAACAAACATCGTGTGCAGCTTGACTGGACTAGGAAATGGTCACAGACAGCTAGAAGAAAATAAGAATGGGAACAAAGCTGGAGACATTTCTGAGAAATTTCTTCTATTCCTTTTTTTTTGGTATTTGAAGGAAAAAGCCTGCAAAGTCAGGGGCTAGGCAGGGTGGATACTTCCACCCCAATTTGTCTTTTCTTTCTAAAGCCTTCACATCTCATGCCAGGCTTTCTTTTTGGACCCACATGAAGTCAGCTCACAGCGTGCACTCCTCAAGCAATTAGCCCCGGAGCACCAGGGGCCTTGACCCTCCAAGCAGCCCCAGGTGGGCACAGCAGGGTGCTGTGGTCTCCCTCTGCCCTGGGCCAGCTGAGGAATGAGGGGCCAGCCGTTCAGCGCCCACCTGCCCTTCCTCTGATCCCTCGGCCGCAGGAGGTAGGCCTCAGCAGACCACAGCCACCTGTGGTGGGCTGCAGCCAGCCCGTGGACCAGGGCATGGTGACTGGCGAAGTGGCAAGTAACCCTGCGCCAGTGACACCTATTGGGCACTCCCTGGGTGCACTTGCTGCACATGGTCCTGGTGTGGCCACAGAGGCGGAGGGTGCACCTACCCAAGTCCGCGTCAGCGCTCTTCTTCATGTCCTTCTGCAGCCTTCTGGTTTGCTCTTCCAACCTGCAAGGGAGGGTGCAGACCTGGGTACCTGGCATCCTCAAGTTGCTTTTATCTTCCCAGCTCCCCAACTTAAGCCCAACCTGGTGCCCTAGGACGCCTGGTGGGAGGATAAGGCACCTTCACCCCTGACTGAAGGGCCGCCGTGGGTGCTACAGGAGGCCGAGGACCCATGAGCTGTGAGCTTAGGACTGGCCTACAGTCACACATCTGGGGAGAGTTCCCGGCTGGCAGTAGCCTGAGCTCTCCAGGGCTCCCCTCCCAGGCTGCCAGTGGGCAGGCAGCAGTCGTGCTCAGAGGGGCGGTGAGCAAACCACAGGGACAGGAGGCCAAGAGGCCCTGCCTGCTTGACCTGCCCTGTCTCATGCTTTGGGGGGTTTGACACTCACTGCTGCAGTTTTCCATACTCCCTTTCAAAGTCTCTCTCCACCTGTAATGAAAAAGATAACTCAATCGTTGGAGAAATGACACCACTTCGGAAAAAATCTGCCATCCTTCTGTAACTCTCTCCATGCCCTCCCCTGACCATGGAAAACACTTTCGAGTTCATACAAGCAGCAGCGGGTCATTACGACACATATCCCTGTTCCCCAAAGTAGTGAAGCATCTGATTTAGGGTGAAAGACTCCTGGATGGACCAGTCTGGGAAGTCCCAGTGCTTTTCCCTGATCGTAGGGAGCGAGGTACTGTGCTGGCCCTCTTCTCCGCTCCCCTGCGCCGCAGGAAAGGCAGGTGCTCAGAACGTAACTGAAGCCCACCCAGCGAGGCGGCAGGGCACAGAGGATGGTGGAATTGGAGTTTGGTACTAGCTCTGGCACCCAGCAGCTCCAAGGTCAGGCCAGACTGCTCCCTCACAGCCCTGGTTTCTTTACAGGTCCCACTGGCCTGCTGGGTCAAGGTGCATACAGAAAGATCACCTATCTGTGCTCTGGGATGTACCAAACATAAATACTGTTACCACCGACTCGGGCAAGGCTCTCTAAATTCCTGCTTGGTCATCAGATTTCCCCAGTGCCAGCGATATTTAAGTGGAGGGGTGTTAAGTCATGCCCTCAATTCTGGAGCAATGAACGGAGTCACTTGCTCTTCAGGTGCCTGAATGTGCTCATCTGTACAGAGGGCCTGGCAGTGGTCCCTTGGGGTTGTGCCTGTGAAGCGGTCGTGTCTGAAAGGCTCCAGGCCTCTTGCTGCAGTTCAGGATCCTTGGTCAGAGCAGTTCGTGTCCTGGGGGCTCGGGGCCTCTGAGAAGGGACCCCATAACACTCTGGGAAGACTCAGTGTGCTTCTGTGAACCCCCTACCTGGAAGGGGAAGTCACAGCCCTCACTGTACTGAGGTCACCAGACAGTGGCTCCATCACCTGTCAGGGTCACACAAGTGTGGGCGGAATAGCTGGGCTTTGATGTAGGTGCCTGGCTCTTAGGCCCGTACTCTAAACAGTCAGTCCACCAAAAAGGGAAAAAAGGAATCTGCTGATGAATTAACACCATGATCTAGCTGCCCTCTGGCCCTATCCTGAGACGTCTGCCAGCAAACCCAACTCTCACTCTTGCTACTGGGTGAAGGTCACGGAGTGCAGACCTGCAGAAATCGTCAGAATTCCACCATTTACAACCACACCCTTCCAGCACCAGTGCCCCTGAGAATACCTTTCTGAAGCCCCCGGGGCCTCCATCTCCATGTGTGGACTTAGGCATACTCAGCACAATCAGAAAATGGCAGAACCCAGGACAATTATGTCACACATGAGGTGAACATGTATCCACCCCCTCTCCATATGGTGTAGGTCCAGACGCAGGCTAGTTAGTGGCAAAGCGAGGCTAGAATCTGGAACCCTGGGTTGGCTCTCCCACCTTTTTAGAAAAACTATATTTGCTCATACTACAAGTATTTATCAAACACCCGTTAAGTGCAGCACATTCTGCCAGACTCCAGGGGCGTGAGGAGACCGGAACAGCAGACACAGCCCTCCCGTCATGTTCGCGTGGGGTGATCCCACCACTGCGAACTGGAAAGCCCTGGGCAGCGCAGCAAGGGGCAGGGAGCCTGCTGACCACGCTCCTCCGGGCTGCCTCCCTGCGGGGAGAAGCCTTGCCTTCCCCACTGAACTGTAAAACTGAGAGGCAGGAGCACACTGAACTTGACTTTCTGCTCTTCTAGGTCTGCTCTTTTCTCCATTCAGGAGTCCGGTCTTTTCCTCATCACTTCTTTATGGCCCCTCAAAGGTGTTCTTAAGAAAATATTCAGAATTCACGCCCACTAAAGTGTGAATATAAAGTGATGAAAGTTTAAAGCATTAGCTGTCCCGGAGGATTTGCGGCTGCACAGGAATCAAAGTCTTAGCTGAGGGACTGCAAAGCTTCTGTTGCCACTGGAGGTGGGCGCTTGCTTTCAGAGCCAAAGGACCTTGCCCGGGCCCTTCAAAGTCTGCACTGAAGTGTTAATCTAGTCCATTCTCCAACGGTGCCAGGGAGGACAGTGGAGTAGAGGGATGAGCACAGACAGATGAGACAAACTGACACCTGCTGAGGAGCCTTAAAAATATCACCTAACATTTCTGAGCCTCCGTTTCTTTCCTAGTGAACAGGCTTAATTGCATTTGTCTTCCCCCATGTAAACTGCAGGCACTGACAATGAAGTCGAGGTAACAGTATCAGCCTCCTTGGCTTGCATGGAGGATTACGGAATCGTCAAAGCAGAGTGTGACATAAGGTGCCTGGCCTGGGCGGTTATTTCCTGGTTCTTCTCCCACCCTGGGGTGTGGATTGGTCTCGAAACCTGACAAAGTCCAGCAGCCATGGCAGCTGCCAGCTCGGAGAATCCTGACTCTGGCTGCGCTGGGCGCTCTATGCTGGGGATGCACTGGCGCCCTGCACTGGACACGTCATATACCTTTTTGACTTCATTAGAGGTGACGGCTCAGCAGAGTCTTCACATATTAAAGTATTTACTTCCAAAAAGACAAGATTAGAATGAAGAAGGCCTTGGGTGGAGTCCAGCTTTGCTGAAGATTAAGTACACACACAGAAGGAGCTCTGGAGGGGAGGGAGAGGGCCCTCCGAACCACTGGAGCCACAGCTCTGCCTGGCCGTCGGCACCTCTTGTGCAACCCCCGTGCACGGCTGTGCGTGGGATGTCAGCAAACACCTGGGCTCCCTGGCTGGGGACTGCTTGGACTTGCACGGAGAGGACTGCAGGTTTCTAACTGAGCTGGATCACTCAGCTTGATGAGCTACCCGGGGTCTCACACTGGGAGTGACAGGGAGGGGAGCCACCATCCTTTTACACCACCCCGGGCCACCAACAGCCTAAGAGAATTTTGTGAACCTTTCAGCTCCTGCTTCTGGCAGCCAGGTACAGGTTGCTTCTATAGCTCCCGAGCAATGTCTCCTCCACTGGGGAAGATCCAGGGGGGTCACTGCCAGGATCTGAGCCCCTCAAATGACAGCTAAGGGAATAAAGAGACACAGGAGTCTCATTCCCAGGCATATCCATTCTGAGGGCAAGAGCCAAAAAGAGAAGATCTGAACATCTTTGAACGCTTGATACCTTTGCCAAAAAGGCAACTGGCCCCCAGTCAGCAAAGCAAGTGTAAACACATGTGCATGACCATCAGAGGGGCAGGGCAGGCTGGGTCAGGCGGGCGAGGTCAGCAAAGGGGGACTCAAGCACTTGGTGGGACTGGGGGAGCGGGAGGCGACGAGCAGCATAAGTGGGGAGTTTTTGTTCTGTTTCAGTCCCAATGGTCAGCCCTGCAGAGAACACACCATACCGGCCGAAGCCTTGACAATAATGGAATCCGCATTAATAACCTGGGCACAGGGCGGGCAAAGACACAATGCTCTCTTTGTCTCTGGCAGATGGGTGCCTTGAGCCAAAACCTCCTGAAACTCCCTGAAGATAACATGAGCATTTCTTCCCATGACAGGCAGCCATGACTTCCAGTAACCTAGGCAGACACATCTGCTTCCCTCTCTGAAGGTGCCCAGGCAAGAAGAGCAGAGTGCGTCACCCTAGTTTTGGGGCAGCTGCTGGAGAAGCTGAGACAACTGCACAGCCCTGGCCTGTTTTGGGGGCCAGAGGAGGCTTGCAGGGGGGGAAGGAAGAGGCTCTGAAGTGGCAGGCTCTTGCTGCACACACTTCAGAGCCTCTGGGGAGTTGAGAAAGCAAGTAATTCTATTCCAAGCTGTAACTTGGCTTGACTCCTTATGAGAGATCAAAGGCCTCGCCTGCTATCTCATTGTGCTACGGAACCCAGCTGCGTGGGACAGGCTGAGTTCTTAGTGGTTTATAAAGAGAGTCCAATCAACTCTCTTCCTGCAGTGTAGTTAATATTTACCGAGGGCTCACTATCCATCAGACATTGTGCTAAGTGCTTCGTACATACTACCTCTTGGAAGGCTCACAAGACATCAGTGGCATAGCTACTGGCATCACCCTCACTTCACAAAAGAAAAACTAAGCCTCAGAGAGGGTAAACAAGGCCAGAGAGCACACCTGGCAGTGCCAGGATGGGAATCCAGTAGGGAGCTCCCCAAATCCAGCTTCTTATTCACCGCCTGCTGCTTGGTCCATCAGGGTTGTTGAGGCCACGCGTCAAAGGAGACGGCTGTGCAGAAGGGATGGGTTGGGGCCCCAGAGAACCCCAACAGGCACCGAGGGTTTTCTCAGCTTGTGCATTTGCCCATCCTCTGGGCACCCTCAGGCTAGCCACCCCCCGATGAGAAGACTCAGGGTCTCCCCATCAACAAGGGCTGGCAACACTGGTGGAGACTGCATTCGAGACTATACTTTCCTGCAGAGAACTGGCCGTTCTGATAAAGAATGGGGCTTGTAGGGGTTTCTTTTTGTTTTGTTTTGTTTGGTAGTGAGTGTTGGGAATAGAAGACCCCTCTTGTCTAACCTTATTAAACCCTGGAGACTCAAGGCCGACTTTCCTGCTTCCTGTGCCCGCTAGAGTTCACACATGTACACCCAGATTCTCTTCAGATTCATGCGGATGCACAGTGTTTGCATGGGAGGTATACCCTGAGTCTCTCCAGGGCCTGCCTTGCTTGAAATGGGGAAGGCTCCTCTAGTGGGCCCATTTCCTCCAAGGGACCTGACCTGAGATTCCCAAAGATAGAGCCATTGGGCAGACAAGCGCCAGACTTCCCGCCCAAACGAAGCAGAGTCTCGCCTGAGGTTCTGAGACCTGAGCTGAGGAGGGCTGAGGCTTTGATGCCAAGGAGAACCACCAGGGCTGGGATGACAAGGGCCTCCGCTAGGCTGACGATGCTGCACTTCTGGAGGCCTCACAGTGAGCAAGGGACTGTGCCACTGTGTCTCCCAAGTTAAGACAACAGTCTCACGCAGATGGAGAGGTAGGGCCTCAAGAGGTCATTCTTTAGTAGAGTCTGATCAGCTTGGGGCAGCTTCATAGTCGGTATAAGATGGCATAAAGCACAGGAAAGAGAACTGAGCAGAGGTACAGACTTGTGCTCTAATCCCAAATCTGTGGGTGTGAGGTTTTTATAGCCTGAGAAAGTCACTACAACTCCATGGGTCTTGGTTTCCGCATCTGGGACAACCAGGAGGTTGGAGTAGATGATGTCTAAAAGCGTCCAGCAATAACTTTCTAAGAATCTATGACTCTCTTCCTTCCCACTCTGGACATACAAGAGAGATTAAAGGCTGCGGGCTCACAAGTGGGGTGGAGAAGGATTGATTATCCTTCCCGCCCAAGTTACTCTGGGTGGAGACAAAGGAACCTGGGTGTCGGGAGAGGCCTTCTGGTCCTTTCTGCAGCTAAGGGTGTTGGAGATAAAGGCCTGGGATATGTTGTTGGCAGGAGTCCTTGTTTTAGGCACCTTCACTGGGAAGTGCAGGCTCCAGAAACAGGCAGAGTATTCCTCTTCCCCTTGGAAGGCTGCCTCTCCTTTCCTACCTGCCCAAGGAGGGGCGATCCAGGCTGACTCGAGGGAGAAGCTCCAGGACAGGAGGCTCCTGCAAGCCCCTGCTGTGCAAGTCTTGAGGGCTACATGATGGAAAAGAGGGCACAGAGGCTGCCTCCGAGCTCCAGATGTGCTGATTCAAAGCTCTGCTTCTACGCTTTGAAGCCCATGTGAGACAGAACTGAGTGTCAGAAGGAAAGAATCAGTTACTCACTGTTTTGGAGACAATCTGTTTCTTGGGCTGCACAATCTTGAAAGGAATCCTGTAAGAGGAAGAGACAAAGAGGGATGTTAGAGGAATGGGGATGGATGCAACTGAGAAGACTTATGTTCGCCCCAGGAGAGTCAGGAAGAGTGGCACCAGCTCAGCCCTAGAGCTCAGGCCACGTGCCCTGCCCTGTGGGTCTAGGGCCACAGTAGCCAGGCCACGTTCCAGGAGTGTGTCCCTCCCATAGACAGTGTTGGGCGAGGCCCTGGGCAACACCTTCTGCTCAAGCGCCTTTTTTTTTTTTTTAAAGATTTATTTATTTGTGCATACAGAACTGGGGTACAGGCCAGAGGCTCAGGGGTGGTGAGAGGCTTCACCAGAGACAAGAGTGGGGAGCAGAACAGGCAGATCAAGGAAGTACACTGCTGAGGGGAGCAGCAGGCGGGTCAGGAGAGGTCTGCCACACCATGTGGTCACAGATGGGGCAGGCAGGGATCGAATTCATGAGGCAGTGGCTTTAGATTCTCAGTGCTGTGCTTTAACCCACTGCGCCACCAGGGAGGGCCCCAAGTGCCATTCTTACTGACAGCCCATTGTCAAAGTGCATCACCATAGTGAGGGCAGAAGGGAGCTATGCAGGATGGTGGGAGGAACCGTCACTGTAAACTTTGTGTCCCAAGCAGACATGCCAGGCTCACTGGAGAGCTAGCATCCTTGAGCTAGCATCCTGAAGAACACCATAAAAAACATTTGTTGTCAGTAATCGGTGCTTCACAGCTTCTCCATAGAGGGACAAATTGTGGATCTTGGGTGGCGGGGGAGAAACAAATTGTAGGGGTATTAAGGACAAGCCAGGCTGGGTTACTTCCTGGGAGAATTGCAAAATCTAAACATGGCAAACTGGGAGAAGGAACTGAAATCTTGCCCAAGCCTGCCTTGGACTTGCTAAGGAGCTCAGCACCGCAGTTCCCCACTTAGAAGTGGAAACCAGCCTGGCTTAACCGCAGGGAGATCATGGCTAGGAGTCGAGCCGGGCACCAACTGCCTCTGCCTCTGGCCAGCAGGCTGTCCTTAACTCCCTACTCTGAAATGTGGGGGCTAAACTACAGAAGCTTTCTTGAGACAGTGAAAATTCCATGGTTCCAGGGCTCCGAGGGAAAATTATGGCTGGGTTAGAAAGCAAGCTGTGCACCCCGACAGCAGTGAAAGATGGGCTTCTCCCCATCAGGTAGAAGTGATGTCAGCACCCTAGGGTCAAGGCAGAGAAGAGGGAGCAAGAGGAGGGCCCTGAGGGCACAGACCAAAGCAGCCACTCCCCCACTTCCCTTTGCGCTCCTGTGATTCTCCCAGCCCACCGGGGCTAGCTCCCAACCCTTCTCCCAGAGCCTGGTTTCTCTGGGTCCAAAGTGACCCACACTGTTGCTAAACCCAATGGTATAATTAACCACCGATAATAACCCCAGACGACGATCTGGTCGAGAGGATGGGCCAGCCTGAGTCATAGTGGTTTAAATTTAATTTCTGGAGGACATCCTGTTTATTGTTAACCCAGCCCCGTAATTTGGGAGCATTAACCCTTTCGGGGTTAGCTGATTCACGTGGCTTCTGTAAACAAATAATCTCTGGCTATATAATTACCAGGGGAAAGGTAAGCTATGGGGCTGAAAAGGAAAGGAGGAAATGAAGCTTCCAGTGCCCCTTGCAGACCCAGAGGGGAAAGTCTTGAGGGGAGAGGGGCTCCAGGGCCCTCCCTGGGTCCCCAGTTACTTTTCCTAAAATCAGGGATTGACACAATGGATTTAGTGAACAGTGGCCTCTGAGGACCACTTTGGTGACCATGCAAACAAGGTCCTGGTGCACTGGGAAAGGAAGCCTGCTGCTGCACAGAAAGCTCTCAGCAATCAGAAAACCTGGCTTCTGCCTTGGACTAGTTTTGTGATGTGAACAAACCATAACCTCTTCCGAGCTCCATTTCTTAGATGATAAAACAAAGGGGTTGGGATGGACGGTTCTTCAGCTTATCTAAAACTTGAATTTTTTTTTAAAGATTTATTTATTTATTCATACAGAACTGGGGTACAGGCCAGAGATGTGGAGGATGAGAGGATTCACCAGAGACAGAGTGGGGAGCAGAACAGGCAGATGGACAAAGTACACTGCTGAGGGGAGCAGCGGGCGGGCCAGGAGAGGTCTGCCGCGCCATGTGGTCACCTCCGGGGCAGGCAGGGATCGAACTCATGCTGAAGTGGTGTTAGCTTCTTAGTGCAGTGCTTAACCCGCTGCGCCACCAGGGAGGGCCAAACTTGAATTTTAAACCAAATCTCTTTCCAAGTGTGGGGCGAGTGGACTTCAAAACAATTCTAACTTGGACTCTAGTGCTGACTAGAAATTAGGAATGGAGATTCCATATTTGTGGTGCCACAGCCACTCTTAAAATCTTAATTTAGAACCACAGTATTTTTAGAACATCAAGTTACCATAGAAATTTTTCCAGTTCAACCCTCTCATTTCGTAGATGAGGAAGCAGACCTGGAATTCAGTGACTAGGCCAGGGTCATCCTGCTGGCTCACGACAGAAGCAGGAGTAAACAGTCAGGGCTCCTGACGTGTCTCCGATTCTTTTTCTTGGGCTCACAGCTTAATCCTCTTTTCACATGAATTTATAATGGTTGAAGGAACTAGGAAAAGTTGTCTAATCAGAATGCCCAGTCTTAAAATATTGGGATTTTAAAAAATATTGGAATTTAGAAGCAGTTCCTAATTCTTTCAGGGACTGGAAAGGAAAGAGGGCAGCAGCTCCGGGAGGGGGCGGGCAGAGGGGTGCGTCTGCATGAGGGGGGGCGGCCTGTCTGCACAGAACAAGTCTGGGCTCTCAGCTTTCCACTGCAGCTATAACTTCATCTATTTTGATTATTTTCCAACTCACTTCTTCAAAAATCCTCTCTCCATCTGCTGGAACAATGCTTTTTTCTTAGACTTTCAATTTTAAGAGCATTAGATTTACAGAATTGTGGAGGTAGTACATAATTTCCCTATATCCACACCAGTTTCCCTTATTATTAGCAGGGCATATCAATATGATACTTTTGTTGTAACTAATGAACGAATATTGATGTATTAAGCCGACACTTCATTCAGATTTGCTTAGTCTTTCCCTAATGTCCTTTTTTTCAGCTCAGGGTCTCAGCCTGGCGAGCATATAACACTGACATTAAGTCTCCTTAGGTTCCTCTGAGCTGCCAGTTTCTCAACTTTGCTTCTGATGACCTCAATAGTTTTAAGGAAGCTAGTCAGGTATTCAATATTTCCTTCAATGGTCTGATATTGACTAGACTGGGCTATTGGGTTGTGGGAGGAAGAAATCAAGTGCCATTCTGAGTGCATCCTACTTAGGGTACTGGGCTATCAACATGACTGATAACTGGTGACGTTCATCTTCATCGCCTGCCTGAGATGTTTCCCAAGTGTCTTCACTGTAAAGGTAGTCTCTGTCTCCCCTTCTAGACTATACCCTTGGGAGGAAGTGATGAAGCATAGGCCTCAGATGAGAATAAGGAATTATACTCCATCTCTTTGAGGGCAGAATATCTGCAAAATTACTGTGAAATTCTTCTGATGGAGATTTGTTTATTCTTCCCCACTTATTTATTCATTCAATCATGCACATCCATACTTATATTATACTTTAGGTTATAAACCAGTATTATAACTGTTCTAGCTTTATTCTCTGGAGTTCTTTCAGTTGGCTCTGGTGTTCTTTTTTTCTTTGAAGATTATTTATTTATCTATTTATTTATTTATGCATGCATGCATACATACAGGAGCTGGGGTTGTAGGCCAGAGATACAGGGTGTTGAGAGGATTCAACAGAGACATAGTGGAGAGCAGAACAGGTGGACCTACTGAAACATAGGACTGAGGGGACCAGCAGGCAAGACAGGAGAGGTCTGCTGCAACATGGGGGTCAACTTCATGGTCAGGCATCTAACTGGTATGCAGTGGCTGCTGACAGCTTTACAGTGCTGTGATTTAATCCCTTATTTCACCAGGGAGGCCCAAACTCTGGTCTCCTTTTGACACCAGTGTATCTGTTTTATTACTTTATTACTACAAGGAAAAAAAATCAATCCCAGCTCTAGAATCGGTATATCAGCATTCAGTGTGCCTCTATAAAATGGTCTCTACTTTCCACCTTCTTTGTCATTTACCTAATCCAGCTACTTGATTTAGCTAAGTGCCTGTTCATTAATAGCAGCCCCCACCCCCATCTCAAGTCCAGATTCCTTATAACTTCTTGTCCTGAACATGGATATTTCAGAGTGCAAAAAAGTCAGTAACAGAGGTATCAGACAAAGGCTTAAAAACTTGGGCTGTCCAGGGCAACTGAGGCAATTTCCTCTCCTCCCAATACGGAATGTGTTCCCTTCTTTGGCTTAATAAAAACTGGTCTTAAGTCCAAACCCTTGCTTAATTTCCTCTAAATATTTAAGACTTCTTTGCCATTTTAAAATATTCTACCTTTGACAATTACTGTTTATCCCTATAAAAAGTAAAAAAAAAAAAAAAAAAAAGCTCAGAGGAAAAAAAAAGGGAAATACAGAAAGGGGCAGAAGAAAAAAAAGCATGAAACCAAAGCAGTCCAGTTTCATATCCAAAAGATAACCAAATTTAATGTTGTTCTGGTATTCCCTTTTTTTTTTATTTGAAGAAAAACTAGGAAGCACTCACTATTAGTGGCTAATATTGGATGGTGAGACTATGATTATTGTTTTCTTCTTTGCACTTTCCATATTTTTCAAATATACTAAAAAAGTCCCTTATTTTTTTCCTTGACTACAAAAATAACACTGATCAGTGTCAAAAGCTTGGAAAACACAGAAAAACACAAAGGAGACACACACACACAATAAATAGCAAAATGCCCCAGTCTCAGTGTGTGCATGAATACACGAGTATTTAACTTTCCAAAAATAAAGGAAACAGACATCATGAACATTTTATATGCCAATATAGTTCTCATCAGCCTGACTCTTAAGATCTACCTAATATTTCAGG